GAGAGAATGAGAAAAAGAGAGAGAGAGAGATAGAGAGGGAGACAGAGAAAGCATAAGGAGCAGTACGAGAGTATAGAGCATACAGTAAAGAGAGAAGTATATATGAAGTTAAAGAGAGTGATCGAAGGTCGAGTCTATCCAATTTTATAGCTAAATATATATCTTTCTGTTGTGTTTCATGTGATAAGCAGATATATAGCCAACAGATATATAGATAGAGAGAGAGAGTGCAAAAGAATCCATTTAATGTAAGTAAGTTGCCTAATTAGCTAACCAATTTGATTGAGTTGGTAATTGCGCAATTTAGCTAAAGAATTTCTTTTACATCCGCTCCGTTGCTAAGACAATCCTTTCAGGGTTTTGAGTGCGCCAGCTGCTTGTGTTTGCTTGGGAGCTGATCAACAGGAGCATTATGTTTAATTGCTGCTCACCGTCAAGTTTGGGCCATAAACATTTTAACTAGGCCCATAAACTGTCTAATAGAGGCCATCAAATCGTTTTGCATGATTTATGGCACATTTCTGCCCACATTTTTCTTGCCATGTAGCATAAAAATGTTGTAAAACTGTGCAGAGAGAAACATGGTCTCACATGGGGATATAAAGCGCTGCAGTAATTGGAGGCAGTAGTCCATGTAGAGCAGCAGCAGAGGCAACTCCCCATTGACGCTTAATCAATACCCAAATCATATCGCACAGGAACAATGAGCGAGAGACAGGAAACGGAATAGTGGGGGAGGGGGGACAATGCAATATAAATATTTGACGTGTGAGAACGTTTGGCTTTTATGGCTGCCCGAATGGAAGAAGCCGCCTGAGAGGCAGTTGTTTGCTTGTTAGTATGTGTGTGTGGCAAAGTGAGTTGTTTAGCAGGCGACATAACAATTGCAGATTTAGTGAAATTGCTTTTACCCCGGCCCACACCACGCCCACAACTTGAGTGCGCTGTTCGTGTCATCGTGTTCTAATCAAATGGAACTCGACGCATAATGGCGCAAATTGCGCTTTTATGTAGGCTGTCGAATTGTGGCCCCCGCTCTGAAATAGCTTTGTACTGTACTCTAGCTAGGTACTTTGTGTAGCGCATCTGTCAGATGGTTAAATACCCGCCTGTGTTAGACCATCTGGAAGTTGATACCGCCCACAAATTAGCGCCCAAGCGTAGCTCGATTCGACTCCCTGGTTCGGATCCAAATTGAAAATAAAATGTGGCACGTAGTGAGCATCGCATGCGGTTCATTGGTAATTCATTTATGCGCACATTTGCTTTGGCCGTCAGTCTGTCTGTCTGTCCGTCTGGCAGTCAGTCAGTCAGTCCGTTGGCCCTACTGCAGGTGTTTCGCATAAGAAATGGCTGCCATCGATAGGGAGCGCCGCATTACACGTAATTTATACTTTTTGGCAGCCACTTTGGCCCCGAGTCGCTGCTCTCGCAGCCCAGCCCGGCCAGTCACCACGCACGACTTGACGTCATGATAATGTATCGAATTCATTTTCCACTTGTTTTGCTTGCCAACTTGCCACCCACTCACACAGACCCGCACTCACACACATGTTACCTGGTCGTAGTACCAGCTCGAGTCCCTCGCTCAGGCGCCGCCTGGCTAGCTTCTCTGGGCATTTCTCTTATATGTATATATATGTATATGTTTTTGTTGCTTTGTTCACGTCTTTCCATGCCAACGTTTTGTTTGGCAAATATCAAAAACGCTTTCGACACATTCCACATTCATACTCAATTACCTACGTGGCAATTTTTTGCTTGGCTGCTGGAAAGGTGGCATGCCACCTGGTCGAGTCCCTAAAGCACCTCAATTTTTTTCGCTGCTGCTGCACCTACTACAGCTCGGTTTGCTTACAGACAGAGTATTTCATTTTACGTAGTATGTGGCAGGCTTTAAGTAGAATGGATCTTTCGATGCATTAAATATTTATTACAGGGTATTTTGTAAGTTCATTCACAGTGCTGCAACGCTCATACACTCGACGTGAATTGTAGAACTTTTGTTTTGTGCTTTCTGTTTGAGTTCGCCAAGCCAACGTTCAATGACTTGGCCAGGCCAAAAAGTTTGTTGCAAATATTTGACCATCGACCGCGCACAGGCAAGCACTCCATTTCCGCCCCGACCCCCAGAGAGCGGGGAGAGAGAGAGCAAGAGAGAGAGGAAGAGAGAGAGAGGAGGAGAGAGAGGAGCGGCCTGTATGTTGGCTTATTGCCGACCGGTTTGGCACGTTTGCTTTACGCTATTCGCCGAATTTCATTCCAATGCATTTATTTATTTGACTTCTTTTTGGACTTTTGCGTTGCCTGGACAAATAAAACAAGTTTTACACAAATATCTGCAATTTCTATGCTGCACAGAAGTGTGCGTATGTGTGAGTGTGTGTGTATGTGTGTATAGCTGACCAACTTTAAATTATTAATATTAAAATTGCTTTTATGGAGCTTCGCACAACTCGTAAATTTAACTTTGAATAATTTGCTGCGCACGGCAATCGCAGTCGCAATCGCATGCAGCCAGTCGAACAATATATGCACTCGCCCGTTGCCATAAAAGTAATATTCTGCTTTGCCAGCTCACTAAATCAATCATAATCAATATTGAAATTTCTATGAATATATTGAAAAATATTGCCAACGGACGCTAATATAAATTTTCCATTGATTACGGCAGGCAGAGTATGTTCTATGCATAAAATATAGGCCTGGTAACTATAATAAAAGCATTGCACATGTGCATATGTATCTATAGAAATAGTCGCTTCAGAAAAGAAATATCTCTCTGCTGGCCATGAAGCGGCCCCATTTCAAAGGAATGTCCCAAATTAATATTTGTGTTTACTTTGGTTCCTTATTCAACTTAATTTTGATATAATTTAACATGTCTTTAACTTAACTCGAACTATTGGCATTGTTCCTTTTTACAATTGCAGTGTATTCGATTGTCAATTAGTTTCTATAGCAGTTTTGCCCTTTTTTTGCACGAGTCTTCTTTGTTTTTTTTTTCGCACACCACAAAACACACAAATTCACTCAGCGAAATTGTCGGCTGCGTTCGCTGATTGATATATTGAGCGACTTATTGATTGATTGGTTGATTGATGGTTGCACGCTCTGCGATTAGTTGCGCTAAAAGCGTCGAATGTGCTAATTAAATTGACATTCGCTTGCTGGCAATAGCCCAGAGACTGGCCGCAAGCAACTGCCCACTATCAGTCAATTGAGTTCACCTGGACAGACACATGCACACACACCTTTGACTTTCTAAACGTTTTGTGCCTTTTAGTTGTTTATTCATATTTCAAATGGACTCTGTAATTCAATCGGACGCAAAAGCCAAAACAGAAACAACAATTGTCGACATCGAGCGGAAGCTGACGTCGCTTGTTGTCAATATTTGTTTTTGTTGCGCTTTAATTATTTTTACGCCCACCTGGGCACGCCCTTAAACGGAAATTGCATAGTGTCGCTACAGCAACAGCAGCAGCCGTACATTTTCGTTTCATTGCATTTTTGTTTTATTTTAATTGAATTTTGAAATATGTGTTGGCCATTTTGCAGTTTTTGTTGTCGTAAATGCAATTAATTCGAGCATTTTTTGAATTGTTCCATCGAACCGTGCTCGCCGCTATTTGTTGCTGTAGCTGCAATAAATTTACCACACGTTAAGCATAAATCAAATGCATTAAGAATCAGCCGCCCGCTGCCCCGGAAATTGTTAATTAAATGAGTTGTTCTTTTTGTTGTTGTTGTATTGTTGCGTGCCGCATTTTTATAGCAGCTATCAGCAGGCAGGCAGAGCAGGCAGGTCGACTAGGCCTAAATCATGTTCAAACTTTTTATTTGGCATTTTAATCGTGGCCTAACTAAAACGTTTTGTTAATTTGTTGCAATCAAGCTGGCGCACGTGGCGTATGCGCAATTTGCATGCTGCTTTATTGATATGCCCGCACGCCATTTACTAAGTTATGCATATAAATATACATTCATATATATGTATATATATATATATATATATATATATATATATATATATATATATATATATATATATATATATATATATATATATATATATAAATATATATATATATATGTGATTCGAAGCCAGCTTCGGGTCGAATATTCACATGCTCAATTTCATTCAATTTATATTGGACGAGAGAGATTTCGAAATAATTGCCAAACAAGCAAAAGTTTTTGTTGAAATTTTCGCAAGAGTTTTAATTGCTTGAGTTCAGTTCTGTGGTCAAGTGTAAATACAATTATTTTATTTTTCCTATATATTTACGTTTTTTTCTCACAGTTACTTAGGCGTGAGCTTTCCTTTATTTGAAGCTGTTATTAAATATTTATGGCCATGATTCTTTAATTTGGAGCTGCTGACTTGACTAGCTGATATATAATTGGCTTTTAAATATTGTAGTATCTCCAGTAAACGAAACTTTGCCTGCACCCTGCATACTGCACATATATTTAATTTCTGACTGCAACTTTATCAGATTTGCTTCATTTTGCATGCATGCAATTTGCTAGCCGTCTGGCAGCTCTGGCTGCAATTGTATCTCTCGGATACATGCAGCTGTTTTAGCTGGCTTCTGTGAAGCTGAGCATTTAAGTTTTCCATGGGGCGTATACGCAATATTATTTTATTTGATGGAATATAGCAAACGAGAAGCTTTTGCGGTAACTTTGGCTGGTCAAAATACAAAAAAAAGAAAGAAAAAATTGTACAGCAAAAGTTTTGTGCAAACTAATTGTTAATTGAAACAAAATCCCGTCTATTTGTTGGCGCTGCAGTTTCCAGCTATTCACTGGCTGCAGGCAAAGCAAAGCACTTGCCGTCAAACAAATGCCAACAATTAACTATGCCAACAATAAAAGCGAAACTTAACTTAACTAAATGCTTTGGCCATGCCAGCCGCTGGCATAAATATGAATACAGAACTGGGTAGTGGGCGGTGGGCGGTGGGCGATGGAAGTTGGGGCGTGGTACTTACCGCTCAGCACAATTACAATCAGAGCGAGCAGGAGCAGCCAGGCCATGCCGTTGCTCTCGGCCATATGGAGTGGAGGCATGGTGACAGCGGCGACAGGAACAACAACCGGAAATGCAGCAAGCCTTCGCTTGGCCCCTGGTACTCGGTCAGCGGCGGGTAGCGGGCGCGAGTTGCGGGTATGCCTTTGTTTTAGGTCTGTCTTTAGCTCGGTCTGAGTGTCTGACAATTTTCTATGCTGGCAGCAGCAATAACCAAGTTAGCGACGTCATCATCAACATCAGGAGCAGCTGCTGCAACAGCAGCGTCATTATTGGCGTCTGCTCACGCTCTTTATTAACTTGGCCAATTGCCAAGCCAGGGCACAAAAGGCAACTCTGTTTTGGCCCAGAAGCAAAGTCAAGCGCTGTTTGCTTTTTCTATGGCCCAGCCACTGTTTCATGCGCGTTGCCTGAAAATAGAAATAGAGAGAGAGATGGAGAGATGTTGAGTGAGTAGGAGCAGCAGTTAAGTTCTGTTTGTGGACTGACATGAAAGTTATTGCTGTGACAAAAATACTTAAAATGTAGGTGAATAGCAGCAGCAGGAGTGAGAGCAGCTGCCTCCGAGTCAAATGCACTCATTGCCACGCCTCCACAGCGCTTCCTGTTAAAGGAAAAAAATACCGAAAAACGAAACGAAATAGAAAAGCGAAAACGGAAATGAGAGCAAAACGATAATGGCGCACGCCGCCTGCATAATGATATAGCCAATGGCCGGTGGTTCCATTGTGGCACCACTTGCCTTTTATTTTTCTATTACACGATTTTCGGCAGCGACTCGCGACCAGCTATGCAATTTAATTTGCCAAAAATAGTTACTTACATTCACTTATCTCGCTTTAGCCATGCCCCCTCCCCCTTCGCATGCTGCCCATCCATCAAGCTTAAAGCGTAATAAGAATAATTGGCAAATCCTCCCTTCATTCAGCTCTGATTATTATGCACCATAATTACTGCGAATGTGCAGCGCGGCTCACTGGCTGATCGATTCATTCGCATTTATGTCGAAATAATGAGAGGCGGGCATATTTATAACGCATACGCCATGTGCACACTCAGCACATACAATTTCCCCGCGACAGCTGCTCGCAACATGAGAACATTTTCGAATTTTTTCGCATTTATCTAGTGAATTTATCCGGCCCTGGCTGCCATTATTTGCCATTTGGCATGGCAATGGGCATAATTCTAATGCATGGATATTATGTGTTCGTCGTCTGTTCATGCAAATTACACCACCCTCTCATCCTTCTCATCCTCCCTTGCCCAAGCAGTCTGTGCACTGTACTTATTGTTAGGAAACGGAAACGGCGCAGCAAAAGGCCCCCCCAAAAAAGGAATTTTTATTATTGTTAGCAATTGGTTTATGCTTGTATCAGCCTGTTTGGATGTGTGTGTGGGTGTATGTGCAAGGCCTCTGCATGTGGGTGCGTGTGTGTGGGCCAGACTGTAGACTTCGGAAAGCAATTTGCCACGCACTGTCAGTGAAGTTGAACGCGATGGAACATTTCTAATTTTCAGCTACGAAAAATTTATACAATAAAAAAGGCATAGCCCAAGGCAAAGTTAGTAAAATAAGAAGAAGAAGAAGCACAATAACACAAAAATAAAATAGCATAAAAATAATAATAGAAGAGCAGAAAAATCAGCCATTCAGAAATTTACATAAAGCTCAACTCGCATGCATGTAATTTGTAACAGACACAGAATTGCTTTTACTTTTAGCTGGCTTTTGTTGCTAAGTTTCCATGTAGCGAGCATTAATCAAAAAACACTTTTAACCTCTCACTGAAAAGGTAAAAATAGCTTTTAAATCACTTTTTCATAGTTTTGCCTTCACATGAATTTTACATTAAAATATTTTTAAATTATTCCAATTTTTAAACTCAAACTTAAGCCTCATTAAGCACACTGCACAACTGTCATATATTTATTGTAACATAAAAACGCGTTAAGCTGTTGATAGGCGTCCCATAAGAACGTGGCGTATACTTAATCTGTCAAGAGTTCAAAGTGCATTTGGCGTGCCTCTTAGCCATTTTGTTGTCTGACATTTTTGCTTCTTTTATAATTATTCAACAGCAGGCAACACCAACAACAACATCAACAAGAACAACAACAACAAAATTTATATAACATTATAAAGCAATTTGCAGTAAATCACCAAAGTGCGGCGCGCGTGTTTATAAATCACAAGCAGCTCTGTTATGGTCGCAACCCGTGCGGATTCCCAGCGCCCAACACCCCATTGCCCCGCCCCCAGATTGCCAAGTAACGCCCACAGTCCCGTTCCGAGTTCTGTACGCTTTGGTTAGAAGCTGTTGGCAAACCAAAAATCGAAATGAATAATTAATATGTCGCGCCTGCGGACGACCCGGACAGAGACGGACGGAGACGCGGCTCCATATGCTATGCCAGCAGAGGGCAGCATCAAAAATGAAAAGCGACCAAAAAAAACTTGGCAATTTTCTGGTTTGCAGTAATGTAAACAAAACAGCGCCAAAATCCAAAAGAGAGAAAAGAAAAACAAAGCCAGAGCTCATGTGAGGCCCCAACGGCGTCAACTGAGCCGGGCCCAAGCTGGCATTCAGTATCCCACTGCCTGCTGGCAAGAGCAAAAAAGGCTCGACGAGATTGACAAATTTGCTAGAGCGACAGCAAATGAAAACCGGAGACGACGACGACGACGGCGGCGGCGATGGCGACGGCGTCGGCGGCTGGATGAATTTTTCATTTATGACAATGTTTACGTAATTTGACAACCAAAACAATTTTCGTACTCTATTTGCTGTGGCGCACGCTGATCTTCCGCATGGGCGTACGCAAATGGACTGCCATTTATTGTTCTAGCCTAACAGCACAGCACACTTTTGGCCAATCAACCAGCGCATCAAGCCTGTCGCTTCTAATCAAATGTATCTGTCTCGCTTGCTGTGTGTGTTGGCTGCCTTTAAGCCATTTTAAATGGCAAACGATTTGCTTGAATGTTGTGACATAAAAGTGCAATCTATAGTCCATTTAGTGGGCACTGGATTAGCAGACTTAGTCAGCACGAGTAAGTAGCCACAGCCAGTTGCCACAAGCCATTCATTGTATAAGAACAACTACCTACTGAATGGCAGCTTAAGAGTGCAGCAAAAGGCAAGTAACAGGGACAAAGAGAAAAGGGCAGAGAGAGGGCTTACTCACGCAATTAAAATTTGTTAGACATTTGAGAAGCTAAGCTATGGATGACAGCTTCTATACAGTCTGTTCAAACTGAACTAATTATGAAACTTGGGTTAGTTGATTTTTATTTCATAACATGGCAAATGCTGAATGTAATTTCATTTTAACTATTTGGCAGCAGCCTTCATGACCATGAACTCAACCAGATTGATGGACAGATTCAAAGTGAACGACTCACTCGACAAAGTCAGAGCCCATTTCCGAGTTTTGATCCCATAACTTTTTGGGCATCGTTTGTCAAACTTTATGCTAATTTGGCCAAATTGGGCGCTGCTCGTAATTGAAAGGCAGCTAGAACAATAATCGTGACAATGATCCGGCTGACCTTGACATCGAATCATTAGTCAAACCATTGCAGCCAAACGACAAACAAGCGGAATTGAAACATGGACGAGAAGCGAAGAGGGCAACGTGGGCGACAAAGTGGGACGAGCATAGATTCTAGTTTGGAAGAGAGAAAATTATTGTTTTGCTCAATTTGGAGGCGCTTTGTTTGGAGTCTGTCGCTTCACGGCATATTAAACCACATGAATAAATTACAATTGCAAATAGGCAATTTCCTACACTTCCTTCCCATTGACATTGCCATACAGTGCAGTAACCGCAAATGGGGCGTGGCCAGTGGGTCGGTCGGTTGGTTATTCGGTCGGTCGGCTGGTCGGCTGGTCGCTTGGCTGGCCGATTTCTTGTTGTTAACTGTGGAGTCGGTTTGTTGGTCTATATAACGTCTAATTTGCAATTTTGTTTAATTGTTTGTGGCTTTGGATTCCGACATAATTCGATGTTTGCTGCTATTTGTGTTTTTGTTGTTGTTTTGATCTTGCCACGCCCACTGCGCCTCACTGACTCACTTGTTTTTCGGCATGCCGTGCAGACAAGTTGTTCTAATTGTTGTTGCTGTTTGTGTTTTGCGTTATTTGCGGTTTTAGTTTGGGTCAACATCAATGAGCATTGGCACGCACGCACACACACACACACACAGACACACAGACACACACACAGACACACACAGACACACACACACACACACGGAGCCACAACGCTCATTGGGGTCTCGTTCGGTTAGTGGTTTCCGCTCGAGCGACGTCATCTCTTTAGCTCACTCCACTTGGCGCGGCTCCCCCGCTGGCCAGCCGCGTGCCTTGCCTAAATTATAATAAAAGGTTTCATTGCGGCCAGTTCAAAGTATGCGCCTGCTCCCTGCTGTGCTATTCTTCGCTTTGCTTTGCTTTGCTTTTAGCAATTAAATGAATGCCAACGAGTAGACAAAGGCTCAGCTCAGCCCAGCCCAGCTGCCCCATCCAGCAATCAATTGGTATTTCGGACGAGTAGCCGCGGTCCGTCTGTCACAATAGTCACAATAGTTGCCAGCATTAGCGAGTAAACTCTTTGCCGTGCGCTGCAAAGTATGCAACGACTTTTTGGCCAGTTCTAAAAGCCACTCAAGCTCAACTTGAATGGCATTGTCAACGTGCTTGGCACCCCTCGGGCACTCCACAAATTAGCTGTACGATTGCCTTGCACTTAGTACACTTCCTTTTCTCTCTGTGTATACTTTTCAAAATTGGCTTTCACACGCCATTAGCATTTAATTGCAACTGCAACTGCAACTTCAACTGCTGCTGCTGCAGATGCGGCAGCTGCAGCAGCTGCAGCTCGGCTCTCCTGCTGTTTCCATGTTGACCTTGTTAACAAGCGCATTTGCCTTAAACAGCGTACACAGCACGACTTTAACAAAGCAGCTACCGAGGGAGGAGGAGCAGGGCGGGGCGCAGCCATTTGAGAAATCAAATATTATTCTTATTACTGCCATTTCAACTGCGCGCATTTACCAAAAGCTGGGCGCGTGCCATTCCTGCCATTCGATAAGCGAACGTTCAACTAAAAATTACCAATTAAATTTTGCCTTTTTTCTACAATTGGAACTCAAGTGGAGCCCCTAAAATAAACTCATATATAAGCTGTAAATTTACATATAAACGAGTTAAAGTGCTTGCTGAATGCCTTCTAAATGTCTGTGTGTACGGTCGACATTCATCAGATGGATGTATATATACATCTATATATATATGCTGACAATTGAATTGGAAAAGGCGTCCCCGCAGCCACTTCAATTGAAAAGTGTGTGCGTAGCTTAAGGAA